GTCTCGAATACCGACCTTTCCTGTCGAACCGACAGGCGTTCCCTCACTGAACAACTCAAACGGTTCTTATCCGACCACTAGACCGTTGCAGATCGCCCGCCCGCCATCACGTCAAGCAGCCCCCAGTAATAACACGTTTGCCTCCTCATCACCCAAGGGTCCTATCCGCCCACAAAGATCAGAGCTGAGACCGCGTCAGGTATCTGAATATTCGGAGCGGGCTTCCACTTCATCTCGAGCAACCCAACTTGAAGATCACGCGGCAAGAGACCGTAGAGATAGTTCCAGCACAACGCGCTCGGATTCGTCAGCTGCGCCGCAATATAACGGAAGTATAGGCACTGCAGATAATAGGCCCCGGGTGGACATTTCGCGATCTAGCGCTCATGATGAGACTTCCCCAACAACCCCTGCACTAGCTTCCGTCATGGCTGCCTTCAGGGAAGCTGGAGCTCGTAAACGTGCGATAACAAATGGTAACGAAGATATAGCATATGAACAAGAAAAGCAGAGGGAGAAGGAGTTGGAGATGAGGAGGCAAGAGCGCATTCGCGAGCGAATGCCATACCGGAAAGCAACCGGGAAGGCTAAAGCAGGAGATATCGACGGTGAGGAATCTAATCGTCGCAGCCTGCCTAACTTTATGTCTTAGTTGTTTAATCGTATGCTAACATCGCGTTGTAGCTGTGCTTGACCAGATCAAGGACGAATGGGAGTTTGCCATTGACCCTGATGTAAGGCATGGATTCTACTGTCAACCAGTAGCTGAGCGATATGACCTTGCAATCGTTGCAGTTTAACAACGTCGACTTGGCTTTGTCACTAGTCGATGACTCTTCGACAGGCAAAGGCATCGAGTCTTTTCGACAAACCAAGGTAATGCTTTCCCATGCATTAAAAGGATCAGTGGACAGTAAGCCCCAAGCTCTGCACTCGTGTCCTTATCAATAATGTTTGTGCTTAGAGCACCACAAGGCGTTTGCGGATGCACTTCCGCATCACGCCGCTCTTCTCAATCACCTCGGACTTACCCAGACACAAATAAAGCAGTCGAAGACAGCTCTTATGGAAGCGAAGGAGGCGCTGGGAAATAAGCGCGCTGATCTTGTTCAACTGTGGTCAAGGGGACAGGTATTAGAAGAGATGATGCGCTTGTTGGATCAGATGTCAGTCTCTTTTGATATGCCAATTGATTCACCTATTAACTATCCATCCATAAAGCGAGCATCTGAAATCAGTGCCCGACGCACTTGAGACTCTCATGTCGGAGAAAAGGTTGCTTCAAGCATCAGTTCTCCTCGTGCGGAGCCTCAAGTTGATTAACAAACCCGACATGCAAGAGATTGGAGCAGTTTCAGATCTGCGAAGTTATCTCATTGGTCAGGAAAATGTGCGTTTGTCAATTACTTAGCGACACGCAACATCTTATCACTTAGTAGGCTCTACGAGAAATATTGATCGACGAACTTCACAACCATCTTTATCTCAAATCCTTCTGGTGTGAGTCGCGGTGGGCTGCCTTCAAGCCGAATCAGACAGCCTGTAAGTCACCCCAATTTGTGCAACTCTCGCCTTGACTTGTCTTCGAAGTTCCCAAGGTTGAATTTGAGAACGAATCGAGTGGACAACCGTCTCCGAATGGCATTGCATATCCTTCCCCTGAATCGTCTTCACTGAAACTTGCATCTTCCCGGTTATCTCGCTTTCTCAACTCTCTTGCACTCCGACCAAACGACCCTCCCCATGATCTCAGCGAATCGAACTTTCGCAGCAATGCATCTGTTCAGGATTTGTCTTCCTCATCTCTTCCATCCGCTCCGTCTTTTTCATCGAATCTTAATCTTGTTGCGCTTGCAACTCAGGCACCTCAGCTTGATGCAAACCCAGAAGGCGACTCCTTCGCCTACATCGAAACTCTACTGGAGTCTCTCGCAGTCTTGGGAAAGCTTGGGAGTGCGCTCGATATTGTCGCACAGCGTTTGCAAGGCGAGATATACTCATTGGTCGAGTGTACTTTAGACGAAGTTGAGGAAAGAACAGAAGAGTCCAAGAGAGTTTCTCTGTTCGGCACAGCTAGCCTAGGAAGACGGTCAGAGGGTGGATATATTTTTGTTGCTAATGATTCCGTCGGCATCACTCCAGATGGCGTTGTTCCTTCGATGCCAGCAAAGGGTGTTCTCCTCCGGACCTTTTCTCTACGTCTTGCAGCACTGGAGTCTTCCACGAAACAAGTCGATCAGGAAACATTGAAGGACTTCTTCTGGACTGTTTATTCCAAGCTTGATGCAGTAACCCAGGATTAAGGGTAGTTTATGAGGTTGCTAATCGTATAGGATCGGTATGTTGTATTTCATCTTGCAAAAGAGATTCATACTGAACTGTATTCCCTCAGCGAAAAGACTTCAAGGACTCGTCCGGTGCCAAACCGGGAGCTTTGTTTCCACTCGCTGATGTATGGTTACCAGTACAAGCTGAGGTATGTAGCGCAATCATTTTATGATTAACATATCAAGTGGGTTACAGGTTCGGGCGCTCTTGCATGACTATTTAACCGACGAGGAACAAGGATCGGTGGCGGGGCGAAATCCAATTTCGTCCATCAATGAGGTTCTACGAGAAGGTCGGTTTACGAGGGACAAACAAAAGGTCCGTGCCCAATACTGTTGCATTTCTCACACTGATAATTTACTTACAGCCCGTATTCCGATTTGCGGATACTGACATGAAGTCCACTGGCAAAGTCCTTCGACGTCACGAGGATGAGCTCACTCGGGTCCTTCGAGATACCATGCCCGGTCTTGTGCAAAATTCTTCCGATAGTGCTGTCCAGGCAACACTGTCGACAGTTGGTACAGACGACCGTCTATTAGGTGTTGGGCAGCATCATCGTTTGCTGATCAAGCCGGATGCATTCCATGTTAGCGTACTTTTCCAGCCCACTCTTACTTTCTTGAACCGTGTGGCCGAAATTCTCCCCGATGGTGTGGAAAGTGCTCGCTCTGCAAGTGGTGTACTAGATGACTTTGTCCTCAAAGTTTATCTGCCACAGTTGGAAGAGCGCATCTCTGAACTTTTCCATCACGCAGTGACAAGTTAGTCGATTTCTCTCACGTCACCTTATCTTACTCACAGTCCCACTAGGTCCTGACGCTTTCCAGTATGACCAGATGTCATCCCGATTTAGTCTCAAACCAATATTCAGAGTTCGTGCTTTCGTGGATGCTATGCTATAACATTGATCATTGATGCACGGTTATCCAGGCAACTACACAGCTAATGGCACTGATAAACTCGTTGTGCGCGATGCTCCGCACAACCCCGTTCCATCGAGAGAGTTATTCTCGTCTGATTGTTGGCGTAATCATTCAATTTTATCAGCGCTGCAATGACAAGTTCCAAGACCTGGTTTCTTCAACAACTAACATCCCTGACACTTCACATCTCGTATTGGCAGCTCAGTGGGCACAAAAATCGGAATTAATTCCATGTTTAACAGAGCTCTTCGCAACACCCGTGCGTATCGCACAGTTTAGATGCTGGTGAAACTGACAGTTATGTTGCAGCATTCAAATAATGTGATCAGGCGGCAGCTTAGTCGACAGGAAACACATTTGGAACTGAATTACCTCGGTCAAGCTCAGATAGCCAAGCATGACTTGGTTTCCTCAACTCGCAACTTGGCGGGTCTGTGTGGTCTTTACCGTAGTGTGGTCAGTTGCACAGGATGTATGATTTTCTTACATTAATTTAATTGATCTGTAGGCATGGTTCACAGAAGAGCTGAATGCACTGAAGTCAACTCCAGACGGCACACTCTCGCCGACTACACCTGTGGCGCTGGGGTCCGCCAATGTTGTGATGCTGTTCACCCCTTCGGCAATCTCTACCTTTTTGTCGCAGGACACTTATGATGACCAGCTTAGCCTTCCCCTGTCACGAGAAATGGCAATGTGGGTGTGCTGATCATGACGTTGACCATCGTGCTCATATAGATCTTCAGGCGGTTCAGTGCCTTGCTTAAGACATACTCCCAACTGGCCGAGATTATTCTGCATACCATTAGGATCGACATTCGCTGCCGAACAATGCACTATTTGGATGCAGCCATGCGTCTTGTTGGTGTTAAATTGCATATACTTATCATCCTACTAATTGATTGCAGGGTAATTACAATATCGACCATGAAGCTGGCGAGCCTGACCCGTACATCGTGGACCTTAACACTGAAATTAGCAATTGTAACGAATTTGTGTCGGCAGCGATGCTGAAGGAGGACCACCGGTAAATATCTGTCCCTCGCCTCACATAAGTAACCCACTCACCTCTCGCAGATTTGTCTTTGCTGGACTCGAACATTTAATGGAACAACTACTTATTTCTAATGCTCGACATGTGCGCATGGCGAATGGTTTTGGTATCAGGAAGATCATACGAAACACTCTCGCACTGCAGCAGAGCGTACGGACTATCGGCGACGACCAGCAGCATGCCGAGTTCGAGCGTGCGAAGAATTATTATTCACTCTTCTTCCTGACACCTCAGGTACACTTCCATCTTTGTATGTTCAGGACAAACTGCTTATGAGTTGAACCAGGGTTTACTCGACAGTATCCGTCAACACCAAAATTTCACCTTCGACGAGTATAAGACCATGCTCAATCTTCAGTGTGGGGTGGATCAGTCAATTGGCGAAGCTGGAGCAGCTAAAGCCGTAGACCACAATTATAGCAGGTATCTTGTTGACCTACACGGCTTGGAACTGGAGAGTTCCGCAGACATCGGTTGAGGTTCATTCAGACTTCAAGCATTTAGTTATGTTTGTATATTTATTACTAGCTTGTGGGTAATATATCCCCTCCATGCTTGCAAAGTTGCCACACGGAGTAGAGCGCGCTGGAGACCCGTTGCACCAAGCTACTGAAAGTTCCCCGACCATTTGTTAACGACGTCACTCTGCGATTTCTCGTGGATTGTAGTTTCCCGATGATCACAGCTTCCGACTAGTGCCTTACATGCTCGCCGGATGCTTTTTGATTCCATGCTACATCTTCGCCTGTTGCGCACGATAATGATCTCCCTTGACTACGTGCCCTCAGCGCATTCGGTGCCAATGACACAGAGAAGCCGCCAGGCTTCTTGGTTTGCGCTGAGATGAATGTAAGGATGGGTAGCCTTCCCAACAATTCCTGGTATCTCCTACGCAACCATCGTCTTTGGAGGAAAGCACCAGATGTATTCTTCGGCTTTGTTGTTAATTGAACCAGCTCCTCAAGGACAGTGGTACCGTCAAAGCCTATTTTCCGGACAGCAGTCGGAGTGCCCAAGTCGCTGCCTTGGTCACCGACTTTTCGAGAAGGTAAAACGGAGATCTGGAGAGGTGGGAGCACTTTCTTCCACTCTTGTCCGAAGTACTTCCAGCGAGCGTTTACTTCCCGGCGCTTACTAAAAGGACCTAGTATCTGGGCATCAGATGAATTAGGGTCTGCACGTTCGGGAAGTATTGGCGGGAAGCTGAGGTCGCCAGGTACCAAAGGTCTCTTCCTGCGGGACAGACCCGAAGTGAGAAGTGCGGTAAGCTCTTGGGAGTATACGGGAGGGCGCGAGGATTCTTTGCTGGGGATGATTGGTGGAGGAAGTGGTACGTCTGGGTCAGATAGTAAGGGCTGTCGGAACGTTATCAGGCGATCACGAGCAATGCAAACGGACACTCGAACTCATCACCTCCATCAATTCCCATCTCAGCCTACCTACTCGTCCGTAGGCAAGGTCCAGGATACGATTAAAGGCCTGGTGGTTGCCATTATTTGCAGCACGGAGTTGTTGTATGGTCTAACCAAAAATAAGATGAAAATTGATACTCGACGAAAATAGCCTCGCCTTTGAGACTCTCTTCAGCTTCCCCGTCCTGCGTTCATTACATTTGGTCAGCAGCGCAGCGCGACAGCCATCCTCTGCCTTCAGACGGAAAACTCGACTACGGGCTATTAACAGTGCTCATACTGATCTGGGGATGGGCCTCACCGAAGGTAAGCATGGGGCAATCGTCTAATCTCACAAATATAGCTTCTGTATACTGATGCAATTGCCTGCTGTCGATGTTTCATGAGAAGACGCAGTAGCGATCCAGTCACGTCGTGACGGATCGTGACCGAATGGGTTGCCCAATTAGTAAGCCTCCATCTGGGAGAAAACGCGAAGACGCGAGCTGACAAATCACACGCGTCTTGCTGTAAACTCATTCATTTCTGTGACAGAGCGTGTCTACGCACTCGGGTTCAAAGTGCAAACGGCACTTTTTGAGAGACATTCCCAACATGTCTTCTCCAAGCTCTGATCCCCTTTTACTTTTTACTCCACCAAAATCCAGTTCTCCTGGTGCACCACCTACTAGTGATAGCGTCGCGTCTACCGACGTTCCGATGGCCCCCAAGACGCGCCCCAAAGCGTCCTTTTTCATAGAGCCTCCTGTCTTGTCTGAGTCGCAGAGGAAGCTGTACAAACCTGTTCCTGAAGAGTTCAAAGAAGGCGTTACCTTCGACAGGGATGATATTGACGCTGTAGTAGGCGAACACCACGAAGGCACCCACTTGTCCTACTTCGTGCGTTTCAAGGATGGGCTAGCATATAGAGTACGCATTGCTTTGCCTAGAACCTTTTTACAGTTTTAACGCGTCACTTATATAGCTTCCTGCTAGTGACTTCCAGGCCGAATATGCCGACCTGGTTGAGGAATACGGTCAGTTTCCACTTTAGTGGCGTGTATAACGCGTGTCTCATGACTTGTATTCGCAGATCAAAAGAAAGATAATGGAGAGCTCGAAGAGTTTGACCCATCCTCTAGCGCGGTGCACGAGGATTCTCGCATCAGAACTATCATCACCATAGACATGGTCAATGGTGTTGCCCGGAGCACAAGGGCGCGGGAATATACGTCGTCTTTGGCCTCCCTGTCTGATCTTACGGAACCTTCTGAATCTGATCAGCAAGAGGATGACCAGAGCGAAGACGAATACCGCCAGGAACAGAGCATGCCCACCCGCAAAGCCAATTCTAGGCCTGTTCGAGCTGCGGCTGCTAAGGGCAAAGGCATGTCACGTGCTACAACTCAAATAAAGCTTCCTTTCAGTCCCAAAAAGTTACGTAGCAGGCGTGTCCACCGGTATATGAGCGAATCGGAGGATGAATTGGCAGGATACGAGCAGGAGGACGTCATAGATGTCATTCCCGCTCGTAGGTCCACTCGTGAGCGCAAGAACGCAAGAACTAACCTCGCAGAGGATTACATTGAAGAGGCTAGTGACAGTGAAAGCAATGACGAATCGTACATGGCAACTTACAAGAGGGCTGGAAAGTTCAAGTCAGCCGCGAAAACTCAGAGGCGACTCAAACGGGGACCTGTTTCCCGACCTGCTTATGGCATCTTTCGTTCTGTTGCGGATCTTGACTTTGATGCTTATGAGGAGGATACGGAATTGCTGCGCGTTCATCGGGACATTTGCGAGAAGTGTCACAAAGCTCCTGCTCATGTGCAGTTGGAAAAACCGAAGAAAGGCAGGAAAAAGATTCAAAAGGAAGATGACTATGGGTTCGAGGAGAACGAGGATGATCTCATCCAGTCCTTGGGTGGTTGGGTTCGATGGTATGTATGATCAAACTGACTCAACTCTCACTTGAATACTGATGTCCAAAACACAGCCTAAAGTGTCCTGTTGCAGTTCATTGGCGGTGTCTCGCAAGGACCCAGAAAGATGAAATCACCCGTGCAGCACGTGCGCGCGATAAAGAGGAATGGAAGAGTCAACAGCCAGATGGTTATGATGGTCACAACCCTCCAGACTCCGAGCTTCCAAATCGCAAAGAGCTCGGCATTATGCAGACTACGGAGTTTATATGTGCCAACTGCATGAAAGGCGGAATTTGTATGGGCTGCAAAGAGATTGCTTTAGAAGCGGATTCAACCATCACGAGACAGCCTGCCGCACCGCCCGCCGTTTCGGAACCTAAAGCTGCGGGGCTGACTCAGGATGTCGAAATGGGTGACGCTGCGCAGACTTCCTCGAATGTCCCTGACAGTGGATCAAGCCCTGCAAGAGAGCTTGTTTACCGATGCTTCACCTGCAAGCGTCTCGCCCATTATCGCCATCTTCCTATCCCAGATACCTTCGAACCTGATGACCCGGTTTCTCTTGACGAGATCAAGCTTGCATCTTTCTATCAACTCGAGACTGGATGGCGTTGTGCGGATTGCTTCTCGTATGAGTACACCGTAGACAAGATTCTTGCATGGCGTCCATATCCTGCCAACGCTGTTGAACCTCAATACTCACCCACGAACTCTCCAGATCCGAAGAGCATGCTGCCTCGGGAGTACCTTGTGAAATGGAATGAACGAAGTTATCGGCGCGCTCAATGGGTTCCACATATGTGGTTGGCATCTACAACATATATGAAACTCAAAAATTTCATTGCGACGGGGCCCAAAGTAGAATTGTTGGATAACCCTGCTCCTGAACAGAATACCATGCTGGTCGACTCTTCCGCGAATGAGATACCAGTTCAGCTGGTGTCGTTGGAGCCCAATGCCAGTCAGACTCCTGAGGTCGAGGCCAAGTCCAAGTCAGTATCGTCTCTACGACCTTTGCCAGATGCAGAACGTCATATTCCCCCTGCATGGAAGACTGCGGATCGTGTGCTGGACGTACTTTTCTGGACAATCAACTGGTCAGGGCGTGGAAAGAAAGGTAAAAAGAACTCGGTCGTGGAGAGCGATGAGGAATTGAATTTGCCGCTGGAGCTCCAGGATCAGCTGGTGAAAACGCAGTCGAAAGGCGAACAACCTAATGATGAATGTATGGAGAATGTAGATGAGTTCCTGCGTACTGTCGATAAGTCGGAGCTGGACATCAAAGACATCAAGTATATCGCATGGGCATTTATCAAATGGGATGATCTGGGGTATAATGAAGGTGAATATTTCTTCCCGCTTGTCGCTGTGGGACTCAATTAGCGAAATAGCAACCTGGGATTCTCCCCCCCGTCCTGACGAGCCTGGTTACTTAGCATTCGAGGCAGCTTTCCAACGCTTTATAGACTCGCAAAAAGTTTTCGTTCGAAAGTCGGACAAAGATGTCAAGAAATTGGAGGACAGAGCGAAAGATGGATACGCACAGCACGCCCTTCGTCAGAAACGTCAACCTAAGCTTGGTCAGAACAGTCAACTACAACTCATGCCATTCCAGGTTTGCTCTTTAGCGTTCCCGGTCCGACTGGCATGCTAATGATCTTCCAGATGGATGGCTTTGATTGGCTCTGTGACAATTGGTGGAACTTGCAACCTTGCATCCTTGCCGATGAGATGGGACTGGTACGCCCACCAGTAAACATCATTCCTCCTTACTCACGTTCAACTTTACACAGGGTAAGACAGTCCAGATCGTGACTTTCCTCGGGGCTATCATCGATAAATGGCAAGGAGCTCCTGCCCTTGTTGTCGTTCCCAACTCTACTATCACAAACTGGGTTCGGGAATTTACTCGTTGGGCACCAAAGTTACGAGTAGTACCGTTCTACGGGGAAGCGAAGGCTCGGGACATCATCATTCAATATGAGTTGTTCCATCCCCCTGATCGAAAGGGTGGTCCGGAACCCAAGTACCATGTGATGGTGACCACTTATGAAACCCTCGTCAACCCCAGGGATTTCAACTCGGTGTTCAAGAGCATTCCGCGTTGGGAAGTCCTTGTTGTGGACGAAGGACAACGCTGTGAGTTACTCAGCATTAATAATGAACAACGTCGCTGACTCTGGTTCAGTGAAGAGCGATCATAGTCTATTGTTCAAAAAACTTAACGAGCTGAATTCAATTCATCGCGTGATCATGACTGGAGTAAGATACCTCTGCGATTGCATGTCGATCAGCGTCTAACTTCGTTGTAGACACCTCTGAACAACAATATCCGCGAGCTCTTCAACCTCATGAACTTCCTCGATCCCGAAGAATGGAGTGACCTTGAGGCCTTGGAGAAAGAGCATGAAGAATTGAATGAGGAATTGGTGCGACAGCTGCATATTAGACTCAAGCCTTATTTCTTGCGGCGCATCAAGAGCGAGGTTTTACAACTTCCCCCTAAGGTTTGTTTGGCCTAATAAGTTCGGTTGTATTCTTACATTCTCTAGAACGAGGTCATTGTTCCCCTCTCCATGGCTCCTCTGCAGAAGGAAATCTATAGGTCTATCCTCAGTACGTTTCCATGGTGGTTTACCTTGTCATGTGCTGACTATCGTTCTGTAGGTCAAAATTTGGACATTCTCCGAAGTTTAACCCAGGCTGCGACTACCAAAGCAGGAAAACCCTTGGTTGGCAAGGCCAATTTGAATAATATGTTGATGCAACTTCGCAAGTCAGCTTACCACTGCCTAGCCGTTGATATTTGGTACTCATCCCTATGTAGATGCCTGCAACATCCATATCTTAATTCTGAGGATATCGAACCTCGCAACCTTACCGTTGCAGAGGCTCACGAGAGGCTGATAGGTGCTAGCACTAAATTGCGGTTTTTGAAGATGCTTTTGCCTAAACTTCAGGCCAGAGGTCATCGTATACTATTGTTTAGTCAGGTAAGTGGAACACTGTCCGGTAGGTTAATCTGATGACCTATGTTCCATAGTTTGTTATGGCGCTTGATATCATCGAGGACTTCATGAGAGGTGAAGGCTACAAGTACTTGCGCCTGGTAATTATTCAAGCCCGTGTTGAATGCAAATGGCGACCTTGACCCTTTCTAGGACGGAAACACCAAACAGGCCGATCGCCAAAAGGGCATGGACGAGTTTAACAAACCTAATTCGGATGTTTTTATCTACATGCTCAGTACTCGAGCGGGCGGCGTCGGAATCAACTTGTATACCGCAGATACGGTCATCATATTTGATCCTGATTTCAACCCTCACCAGGTGTGTATGACCAGATCTATTTAGATTGGTTGCCCTAACTTAGATCTGGCATTCTAGGACTTGCAGGTACGGCATGATTCACGTTAGGCTTTTAACTTTCATAATGTCATATTTCAGGCCATAGCTCGCTCTCACCGGTATGGACAGACGA